AAGAAGTTCAATTAAATAATATCTAAAAGATTCTTTTTTTTTTTTAAGACTTTATTTATTGAGAGAGAGAGATAGTGAGAGAGAACATGAGCGGGGAAGAGAGGGAGAAGTGGGGCTTGATCCCAGGACCCTGGGATCAGGACTTGAGCTGAAGGTAGATGCTTAACTGACTGAGCCACCCAGGCATCCCATATCTACAAGATTCTTAAAATGATGAAAATAAAAGGATCTACAAAGGTATACGAGGCAAAGGTGAATAATAGCAATAAAGTTAGGTAATAATCTGAACAGATTTACACTGATAGAACTTTATTAAAAGATTTAGGTGAGAACGACAAAACCTGAACTCACAGGAAAGTTTTGAGATCTGATAAAGAAATGATAAATATGTGTATAAATCTAAATAAACAGTTACCTTGCAAAACTTATTAGTAAAGTTTAATTTGCTTGATTAATGGGAAGAAAACAAGGTGAAATAGGTATTGGGTAATGACCTCTGAGATGGGAAGGGGATAACTAGAATCAAATCACTGAAAGGTTCTTGTACTCTTTAGTGAAAGGGAAGAGAGAATTCGGTTTAGGATTCTTGGATATGCTAAAAATTCAAGGATAATCAAAGGAGAGAGTATAACTTTCAAAACAAGCAAAACCAGAATATAAAGAAAATAATTCAGTAGAAGTCTGGATAGAAGCATGTAGTAATTAGGGAGATTCAAGGCATAAAAGAAAAAGAAAAAAACAGAAACAACTGTATCAATAAATTAAAATGAACCAACCTAAACAGTTAAAAAACAGGTTATCCAATTAAGAAAAAGAAAGCTCAATTGTAAGATGTTTATAAGAGAAAAACCTAAATCCTGTGAATACAGATTCAAAATAAAATGTTGAATAAAGTTGTATCAGAAAATTTTATTTCTGCTCTCTGGTACATTTTCCCATCTCCTTTAGGCAACTCTTAAGATTTCTGTTACTATAAATTAGTTTTGCCTTTTCTAAAAATTTTACAGAAATGGAATCATACAGTATGTATTCTTTTGTGTTGATTCTCTTATGCAATATAATGATAAACACATTCATTTGTGTTGTTTCATATACAATTTGTTGCTGGGTTATTATATATAAAATTATATATACAATTTTGTGTTTATCCATTTGTTTCCTGATGGATATAAGGGTTATATACTGTTTTGAGCTCTTGGGAGGAGCCCTGCTATACACATTCTTGTTCAAGTCATTTTGTGTACATACATTTTCATTCCTCAGGTAAAACTTGTGGTTGGTTACTGTGTTATAAAGTAGACATGTTTTAATGGCATTAGAAACTATCAAACTTTGGTACTTTAAAGATACTTCATTTTCTTTTCTTTTTTTTTTAATTTTTATTTTTTAAAGATTTAATTTATTTATCTGACAGAGATCACAAGTAGGCAGAGAGGCAGGCAGAGAGAGAGGAAGGGAAGCAGGCTCCCTGCTGAGCAGAGAGCCCGACGTGGAGCTTGATCCCACGACCCAGGTTCATGACCCAAGCCGAAGGCAGAGGCCTTAACCACTGAGCCACCCAGGCGCCCCAAGATACTTCATTTTCTTTTGACATTATATGTTTTTGATAAACTCAGATGTCATCCTATTATAATTCTTCCATATCCAATGTACCTTTTTTTCCTCTGGCTGCTGGGCATTTTCTCTTTGTTTTTTTGGTTTTTAGTAATTTATTATTTCCTAGATATGATTTGTATTTAGCCTCTTTGGGATTTGCTGTGCCTCTTGGACCTGTGCTTCAATTGTTTTTCATCAGATCTAGGAAATTTTTGGCTAACATTGTTTCAAAATTTTTTCTGCTGCAATTTCTTTTCTTTCTGGATGTCAGTTACATGTTTTTAGAATATTTGATGTTGTCTCAGAGATTCCTCATCCAGTGCTCATTTTTCTTTTATTTTTGTTCTTTATTCTTCACATTAGATAATTTTTATTTATTGATTTCAAGTTCATTGTGCTGTTTAAAGTCTTCTTTTAAACCCATAGAGTGAATTTTTTGTTTTTAGTACCAGAATATTCATTTGGTTCCTTTTTACAGTCCCAGTTTTCCCTTGAATTTTGCTGTCTGTATAGTAGAAGATGGCATAAGACCATCTTCTACTTTAAGTCATTGAACATTATAGTAACTATTTTAAAAACAGTCATTTTTTTATGCAAATCCTAAAGTGGGGGATGATAGGATCTGAAGCTGTTGGAATGGGATCAGGAGAGAGGTGCACAGGCCTTCATTTTCTGAATAATCAATAACAAATGTTCAGTATATTATTCCTAATGCCCTCTTAATGTTTAAAGTATTTAATAATTGATGTTGAAAATCATCACACAGAGGGAAATAAGAAAATCAAATAATATTCATAAAAGAATTACCCTCAAAGAAGCACCCTATTGTGTTTGCAGGGAAGATACTCCAAGAAAGAGAAGAAAATTTCCTGTGAGTACTTTACAGTATAGAAGAATTTAAGAATGTGCAGTGAATAGAACAGTAGTACAAATTTAAGACTATAAAGTACCAGAAGGATATTGAAAAGAGGTATTGAACTACTGAAGCATTCAGAGGCATAAAGCTACATCTGTATGAGCTCAAAAAATAGTGGAAAATAGCTGAATATTGAACTAGTAATATTGAAGAAAGTCCTGGGATGATTACGTTTCAGTACATGGAAGAAAAGAATAGATATGGAGGATAGATAATGATAATTTGTCATAGGGATAATTGGTGCCCATAACTAAGGAGCTGATTAAATAAAACAACAACAATGAATTCAGTATATAAGAAAATAAAGTTGGGGCACCTGGGTGGCTCAGTGGGTTAATAAGCCTCTGCCTTCGGCTCAGGTCATGATCTCAAGTCCTGGGATTGAGCCCCGCATCAGGCTCTCTGCTCAGTGGAGAGCCTGCTTTCCCCCTCTCTCTGCCTGCCTCTCTGCCTACTTGTGATCTCTGTCAAAATAAACAAAATCTTAAAAAAAAAAAAAAGTTCTAACTGAATTTGTTGATCACAAGATATATTTTAGTAACAGTTTACTGGACATTCTCCTGGGAATTTACTTAGGGGTAGAATTGCTGGGTCATATGGTAATATTATGTTTCCTTCTTTGATGAACTGCTAGGGTGCTTTCCAAAGTGACTGTATCATTTCACATTTCAGCAGTGTACAAAAGGTTCCAATTTTTTCATGTCCTTGGCGACAGTTATTATCTGTCTTTTTGATTATAGTCATCCTGGTGGGTATGAAGTGGTATCTCATTGTAGCTTTGATTTTCATTTCTCTGATGACTAGTGATGTTGAGTATCATTTCATGAACTTATTTGCCCTTTGCCGAGTCTTCTTTGGAAAAATATCTGTTCATACCTTATGTTCATTTTAAAATCAGGTTGTCTTTTTATTATTTACTTGTTAGAATTCTTTTTATTTTCTGGATTCAAGTTCCTTATCAGATATTTGATTTATAAACACTTTCTATCGTTTTGTGATTTATCTTTTTGCTTTCTTGATCTGTCATCCTTTGAAGCACAGTAGTTTTAAATTTTGATGATGTCTAGTTTATCCATTTTTTTCTTTGGTTGCTTATGCTTTTGGTGACGTACCTAAGTAATTTTACTGCCTAATTCAATGTCAGTAAGATTTACACCCATATTTTCTTTGAAGGGTTTTATACTTTCAGCACTTATTTTGATTTTTGGTCCAACTTCATTCTTTTACATGAGGATATTTAGTTTTCCCAGCACCCATTTTTGAAAAGATTATTCTTTTCCCATTGAACTGTCTTGACACCTTTGTCAGAATTCATTAGATCATAAATGTAAACGTCTATTCTGTATCCTCAGTTCCTTTCCATTGTTTTTCTTTAAGTCAGTACCGTATTGTCTCAATTATTCTATCTTTATAGTAAGTTTCAGATTTGGAAGTGTGAGTCCTGTAACCATGTTCTTCTTTTATAACATTGTTCTGACTATTCTGGGTCCTTTGTATTTCCATATTAATTTTAGGATCATTTCTGTAAAAAAAAAATGATGCTGGAATTTTAATAGAGATTGCATAGATCTGTAGATAAATTTAGGGAGCATCACCAACATAACAGTAATTAAGTTTTCCAATCCATGATTATGGATGACATTCCATTTATTTAGGTTTCTTTTAATGAATTTTGTAGTTTTCAGTGTAGACACTTTATACTTTTTAAAGTTTATTTTTGTGTTATTTTGATGTTATTAGTAATGGAATTGTTTCTAATTTTATGATTATTTATTACTATTGATAGAAATATAATTGATTTTTAAATATTGATCTGTCTTATAATTGTGCTGAATTCTTTTATTAGTCCTAATAGTTTTTTGTGCGTTTCTTAGGATTTTCTACGTACAGGATTATTATCTTGAATAGATTTTTTGACTCGCTGTCCAGTGTGTCTTACCTATATTAAATGTCTGTGTGTATGTGATGTTATGAAAATTCATGGCCTTATGTTTATCATATGATTTAAAGTAAATTATAACTTAAAAATATTGGTAATCCTTAATAAGGAAATAATTTGTTATTTTTGATTCTCAGTGTCTATATGTAAGATTAATTGGCCTCTGAAATCTATAGTTCTTGTTAGCAGTATACTTATTGCTGAAAAATGATGCAAAGGAATCATTAGGAATTTTTTAAATATTAAAATAATGAGCTTATACATTTCTAGACCTTCAACCCAGTTACCTTTCATTTTCTGATAATGTTTAAATGAGAGAAGAAATAAAAAGATTTATTATTTAATTCCCTAATTTTGTTCATTGTTGGCTAAGTCAGATTTGTAAGTAACAGGCATGGGACTTGGTTTATATTGTTATTTAGACATTTCTGACATGTTTAGCAAATATTTACCATTGAAGTACATTAATTTTATTTGTCCTTAGAAAAATTGTTTCATGTTTAGTTTCTTTTAACATTGATTTGAAAATGTCTGCTTTTTATTTGTTAGGTATAACCCGGAAAAATCCCAGAACACCTCTTTCTGATCTCCAGGGCATGAATACTCTAAATGAAAAAAACCAACAGTAAGTATGTTTGGTTTATGTTTTCAAGGAATTATAAAAGAAATAATTAGAATTTTCATTAATACTTTTGTGGGCTAAAAAATATGAAGAAAATCAAGCCTAGTTTTTGTTTCTTGATGCTTTTATAAGTAGTATCACTGAAACTGGACTAAATGTGTGTAACTAGTCAACTGTTTGCAGGAGCATTAGCTATAGTAAGAGGTAAGACTGAGAGGATTTGAAATAGCACATGGTAAGTTTGATAAACATGTTTAGCAGGAAGCTCCTATTCAGTCTTTAAAATGCATTAATGTAACATTTGATATAAGAGAATATGCAAAAAACACATGAACATTAGGAAGCATACCAACAAAATGAACCTACTATCGAAGTTCAGCACCAGAAGATTTTAGTATTATTGCAACGACCTTTATATTACTTTCTGATTTCTCCCTCCCCTCTACCCTTAGGTAACTGCTACCCAGAATTTTATGTTTATCATTACTGTGCACTTAAAAAAACTTTTACAGTAAATGTATGTTTTTTCTAAGCAGTAAATTGGCTTTTCCAGTTCTTGAGTTTTATAGAAATATCGGTATGTAGTCTGTTGTCTTCTATGACTTTTTTTCCCCTTCAACTATATTCATCTAAGATTCATCCATCTTGTTGCATGTAGTTTATTCTTTTTAGTTGCTGTATAATATTATGTGCAATGGGGGAATGAGGAGTTACTGTTTAATAAATACAAAGTTTCATTTTGGCTAACACTGGAGATGGATAATGGTGATGGTTGCAGAGCAGTGAATGTACTCAACGCCAGTATACTCGGTGTATATTAAAAATAATAAAATGGACAGAGAACGGATTGGTGGTGCCCAAGACTAGGGTAGGGTATGGGCAAAATGGGTGAAGGTGGTTAAAAGATACAAATTCCCAGTTCTAAGATAAATGAGTCCTGGGGAAGTAATGTGTAGTTATAATTACCATTGTTACTAATACGATATTATATATTTGAAAGTTGCTAAGGGAGTAGATCTTAAAAGTTCTCATCACAGAACAAAAATTTGTAACTGTGTTTGGTGATAGATAGTAACTACATTTATTCTGTTGATCATTTTGCAGTATATATAAATAGTCGTTCTTTTGTATACCTGAAACTAATAAAATGTTATGTGTCAATTATTTCTCAATAAAAAGAAAAATGGTAAGTTTTAGGTTATGTGTTTTTTTTTTTTAAGATTTATTTTTTTGAGAGAGAGAGAAGGAGTACTAGCGGGGGAAAGGGGAAGGGCAAGAGGGACAAGCAAACTCCCCATGAAACCTGGAGCAGACCCAGGGCTTGATCCCAGGACCCCAAGATCATGACCTAAGCCTAAGTCAGACACTTAACCAACTGAACCACCCAGGAGCCCCATTATGTGTTTGTTAATCACAATAAAATAATTACATGGCATTAATGTACCATAATAGATTTGTCCCTCAGTGGCTATGTGGGTGGTTCTTTCACAATTACAAATGGTGCTTCTTTAAACATGCTCATACCAATCTTCTGGTTCACCTATTATTTCATCTCTGGGATATGTACTTAGTAGTAGGACTGTTAGTTCAGTAGGATATGTGCATGTTAGTTTCGTAAGATAATCCCCAGTTGTTTTCCAAGGTAGTTGTACTAATGTACACTAATAGTGACAGCCGAAAGTTCCCTTTGCTTTATTCCTTGCCAGCACAACTGATTGTCAGACTTCTTAACTTTTGATAATCTGATGGTTATGAAATGGTATCTTATAATTTGCTTTACCATGCTTATTAATGATGAACAATTTTTATATATTTTATGGACATTTCTGGATTTTGAAATGCTGTTTGTTTGCCCACATCTTTTCTTTAAAAAGTATTCTTTATAAATTTTGTGTACTGGTCCCATTTCAGTTGTATGTTTCAAATGTATTCTCTCAGTTTGTAGCTTATCTTTCACTTTATTTAATGGTGCATTGTGGAGAACAAAAATTCTTAAATTTAATTAGTTAAATATATTTTTTGTCTCTGATTTGTCCATATTACAGCTTGTTTTTAAAAATTCTTCCCTAGCCCCAAATCCTTTAGCCAGATTTTCTTCTAAAATTTTCTAATATTTATCACCATTTCAGCCCCAAGCTGAATTTGTCATTTGGCTGAATTTCTTCTGATTTTAAACAGATAGCTGAGAGGAAAATATTTTGGTTCCTTCATAACTAAACATGCTTTTATTCTAACCTCACACTTGATTGGTAATTTGCCTGTGTATAAAACTCTTGGTCAGAAATAATTTTTCTTCAGAATTTTGAAGAATTGCTACATTGCATTTTAGTTCTAACTTGCTGATTTCTGAGTCCTTGTTTTACATTGCTTTATTGAGATATAATTTACATACCACAAAGTTTCAGTCAGTTAAAATATATAGTTGAGTGATGTTTGGTGTATTCAAGAGTTGGATAATCATTCCCAAATCTAAGTTAGAACATTTTAATCACTGCAGAAAGAAACTTCCTACTCAGTAGTTTCTCTCCATTCCTCATATTCTTGCCAATTTTAGAGAAATACTAATATACTTTTGGTCTCTACAGATATGCCTGTTCTGGAAATTTAGCATAAATAGAATCTTAAAATATGTGGCCTTTTGTGTGATACTTTTCTCGTTAAGCATGATATTTTCAAGTATAATCCACATTGTAGCATGTACAAGTATTTCATTCCTTTTTATAGGAGAAGAACATTCCATTGTGTGGTTATTTTGTTTATACATTTATCAGTTGACAAACACTCAGGTTTCCCCCTTTTGGCTATTAAGAATAATGTTGCCCTGAACATTCATGTACAAGTGTTTGTATGGATATATGTTTTCCATTCTGGTGAGTATATACTTAGGAATGAAATTTCTGGGCTAAATCTCTGTGTTTTGTTTAACATTTTGAGAAATTGCCAAACTATTTTACAAAGGGGCTGTGACACAACCTCTTTGACCTCAGCCGCATCTAGAAACATCGCCAAAGGCAAGGGAAGCAAGGACAACAATGAACTATTGGGATTTCATCAAGATCAAAAGCTTTTGCACAGCAAAGGAAACAGTCAACAAAACCAAAAGACAACTGATAGAATGGGAGAAGATATTTGCAAATGACACTACAGACAAAGGGCTGATATCCAAGATTTATAAAGAACTCCTTAAACTCAACACCCAAGGAACAAATGATCCAATCAAGAAATGGGCAGAAGACATGAACAGACATTTTTGCAAAGAAGACATCCAGATGGCCAACAGACACATGAAAAAGTGCTCCACATCACTCAGCATCAGGGAAGCACAGATCAAAACTACAATGAGACACTACCTCACACCAGTCAGAATGGCTAAAATTAACAAGTCAGGAAATGACAGATGTTGGAGAGGATGCGGAGAGATGGGGAACTCTTCTACACTGTTGGTGGGAATGCAAGCTGGTGCAAGCACTCTGGAAAACAGCATGGAGGTTCCTCAGAAAGTTGAAAATAGAGCTGCCCTACAACCCAGCAATCACACTACTGGGTATTGACCAAAAGATACAAATGTAGTGATCTGAAGGGGCACGTGCACCCGAATGTTTATAACAGCAATGTCCACAATAGCCAAACTATGGAAAGAACCTAGATGTCCATCAACAGATGAATGGATAAAGAAGATGTGGTATATATACACAATGGAATACTATGCAGCCATCAAAAGAAATGAACTCTTGCCATTTGCGACAATGTGGATGGAACTAGAGGGTATTATGCTAAGCGAAATAAGTTAATCAGAAAAAAGACAATTATTATATGATCTCTCTGATATGAGGAATTTGAGAGTCAGGGCAGGGGGTTTGGGGGGTAGGGAAGGAAGAAATGAAACAAGATGGGATCAGGAGGGAGACAAACCATAAGAGACTTAATCTCACAAAACAAACTGGGGGTTGCTGGGGGTGGGGGAGTATGGAGAAGGTAGTTAGGTAAAGTTAATATAAAATTTTAAAGATACTGTCTTGGTTATCCGAAAAGCATAGTTTAAAAAGAACTAATGGGAAAATATTTTAGGGTTACTCTCCATTTTTCAAAAGCAGGAAGTTTCAAAAGTAGTACAAAGGAGAAAATTCATAGAGTCCCGTGGACCTTCTCTTCACTTAGCTTCCCTAAGTGACATCTCACATAGTAATGATAGTACATTATCAAAACAGGAAATTTACATTGGCACATTAATATTAAGTAGACTACAGTTTTCACCATTTTTAGAAATCTGCAGGTGTGTTTTTATAATAGATTTTTGCAATTGTATCCCCATGTATATATTTGTGTAACTAATGCCACAATCAAGATACAGAACTCTCTCATCATCACAAAAACTCATTCATGATGCCTGTTTATATTTACCTGTGTCCCTGTGCTATCCTGTAGCAACCACTAGTGTGTTCGTCATTTTTCTAGTTTTATTATTTTGATAATGTTATATAATCATGTAGGATGAAACTGTTAGGGAGAAAAATCTTTTCTTATGTTTAGTAGCTGGGGGCCTGTGAATTAAACTTACAAAAGACAGATTAACAGGAGAAAAAGCATGTAATTTTTATTAATATTTTATGTGCATGAGTATTCAGAGAAAAGAAGTGAAACTCCAAAGTGGTCTAACACCTGGGGGCTTATATACCCTTTTCATAAAAGAAAGAGGGTTTGGGCTTTAAGGGATGGTAAAATTTGGGGAAGTAACTAGGGAATATGTGGGGGAACTGATGAAAGATGAGGGTTTTTTTAGTAAGGTTTATGTAAGTAAACTCATCTCAGTTCCTGCTCTCTTATCTCAGATGACTAAAAAGTTGCTCTCTGCTTCCTAATGGGGGAGAGGGGAACACTTTCACAAAGGGAAATTTATCTCCTGTTCTTAGGGGGTTAAGGGGTTAGGGAGAGAACTGACTCTTCATGTATCCGTTGATTCTTCTTAGTTCCCTTATGTGAAAGTAGTGTAATTTGGGGTGATG